CTTTCACTTAAAATGCAGGTCTAAATATCTAAAATAATATGGACTATGTTCATTAAAAACTAATTTCTTGAGGCTGTCTTCAGTTAATAAAGAGGTAGAAGAGGATGAGAGCAGGAGATTGATTTAACTATGTAAAATAGTTTTTACATAGTTTTTATTTTCCTCCAATTTCCTTTTCTGCTTTCTATTTGCCTTCTTAACTGTTCAGCTAGCCAAGTGAAATTGGGCTCCACTGCATAAATCTGTGAACATTTTTGAATGCTTTTTTCTTCTTCTTCCCTCATGGTGTAAGCATGGCTAAGGGACAGAAAGATGAGCTTCAATGTACCATCATAAGATTGTTTTGAGTTTTTTTGTTAGTATTTTTGCTTTGATCTTTATCTGAAATGGGCTGACATTTTTATAGTACTCATTCTTCCTTTTCTGCCCCCCTTTGCTTATTGCCTTGTATTTTACAGTTAGAAATTTGGGAATGGTTTTTCAAGTACATCACAGATGCAATACAGGACCTGACTTACTGTGGATCAGCTGATACTGCTAGGTCATGTTGGCACATTTATCATTCAGTTATTCTCTGATTAAGGATATACTTTAAAGCTTTATGATGTTTCGGTAACTTATGATATGTCATAAAACATTCCTCTGTATTTCACCACTAAGTATGAGGATAACATTTTGTGTCTGATCTCGCTTTTACGAAACCACTGAGCCTTTAGCTGTAAATGAAGTCAATTCAGATTCAAGTTCCTACTGAACATCCATTGACAGTGTTCTGGGATGTAATAAACTTGAGGTGGTGAATTATGTGGCAGAATTCTTTTATTGCTCCTCTCTGTTTACATTGGAAGTCACTGTTACCTATTTTCAAGTAAAGGCCACTTTATAAAGATGAAAGTGGAGCTGTACTGAGAACTATGACTATTTGATGTCATAGTTTTGCCACAAAAGTATGCCATGTGGTATAAATCTGGCCAGATTTATTTTTTTTCGATAGTATGTTTATAAATCATAGAGCAAGCAATCTGTCTAGACTGATACCATGTGACTGGTAATGTTTTCCTGCTAATACTAAGGAAATAGGGGTCACATGTGAAAATAGAACAGTTTTCAGCCATGTTCCTTTAAAATGCATCTGTTAAGCCTGCAGATTTGGAACACGTTGTTACTCTGCTAATACATGAGAAGTTACAGTACAAAAATCCCTTGTTGACCTTCTTAAATTAATCTCTCCAGCATTAGTTATTTCCTTATTTTCAGTGGGAAGACAGCTGACTTTAAGTGTGTACAACACATTTAAGTGGCGAGATTGGTGTTCATAAAAAATTAATTGTAGTCTAAACTAAAATCAGATCATCTTAAGAAGAGGTATTTCTGTTTTGAGGTACTGCTGTGTGTGTTTGCTGTATCTGTGTAAGTGTAGCTGACTGCTGAGAAAACTGCTGTGCAGTAAGATCTAGATTTAACCCTCTGAGATTTTTACTGCTGTTTGAAGCCAAGCTTTCAGATCTTGGGAAGGCTGTCTTTATTTTGTTTTATGAAAGCTGTTTACTTTCCTTAGCATTTTTTCCAGCCTGTTGGTCTCTACAGAAATCCTTTGAAATGGTATAGAAACGTCCATGCTCTATGTATGTAGATATAACATTGCCATTTTTGTCTTGTAATCTTACAAGTCTTACTGCTTGTGTTTGCTCCCTAGAAATGTTCAAAGATAACCATTTTAATCTGAGCTGTAGCTGGTACTGTCATATGTTTCTAGTGAAAAAAGCTGTCACGAAGCGCCGAGCAAGGATTAAGATTTTTTTGTTGCTGTTTTTGTTTGCTTTTTTCATTGCCACTGGGTCCTCTGCTTCAGTGAAACAAAATTTCAGATGCAAATGAGGAAAGTACATCTGCATAACCCTTACATATCTGTTGCAATCAGTATATTTCTTCATGGCATCACAAAATCTTTGGCTTTTAATTGTGTTGTGAATCATAATCTCATGATCTGTGAGTATAAGCAGAGCTTAAAAATTTCATATTGTAGTGGATAGTGAATAGCAAGCTTTCAAAAGAAGTGCCTTCATTTGTGTGGAATGTAAACTTAATTAAATACAGAATACACTTGCAATTAAATGTATTTCCCAGTTAACAGGTAAACTATGAAGATAGCTTATGAATGGCATTTTTCTTCAAACAAACATATCTAGTATTTTTTTTAAAGACAAAAACATAGTGATGTGTGATGTGATGTGTGTTACTTTCAAATTGTTATATAGACTGAAGATAAAGCAGTGAAATTCAGAATCCCCTTTACTGGCCAAATTTTTATTTGACAGGTACCAAGTACACAGAAGATCTGCTACTGCTAGAAAGGACTTTTTCATTTGTATCTAGTTGGGCATGATGCCACACATAATGGGGTCCTAACACTTTAGCTACTTTGGAAATATAATTAATAATTCTTATTCACAATAATTTTGTGTGAGACCTATAAACAAAGCTCTGCTTTTTTTTTTTTTACTGTATTTTCCAATATTGAAATTAGCTGAATTCTAAATGAAAAGGCATAATTATTTTGAAACCAGTTGTAAATCAACAGCAAAATACCAACTTGCTTCTCTGTAAAAATACACTTACATAAACAGTCTTTAAAACTCTATTTTATTGTTCTCATGGAGACCTAAGCTGCAGAAGTTTGCTGTATCATAAAATGTGAATGAGAAAAATATCATTTTGCTGAGGAAATAACATTTTCATGTACTTTGGTGTGTGAGCTCCACTCTGCTGTTTCTAAGGTTCTGTCTTTTTTAGTGGCTGATAAACAAGCTGTGCAGTTGAAGATTGCACAGAAGTTTTTGAAGAACCACAGTAAGAAAGTCTCAAATTTTTACTGGTTCAGGCTGGATATCTGGCACATGAGAACATGAAGTGTTCTCCAAAAAGAGCTCTTAAGAGATGTGCTCTTGAGTGTTACAGCATCTTGGGTGGTGTCAATAAGGACGTAGCCAGTTGCTTATGGGGAGCGATCATCCCCTGCTCAGCATCGCTCAGACCATGCCAGTTTTGGGCCCTTCAGTACGTGACCAATATTAATGAGTTATTAGTATTAATATTAGTGAGTTCAGCAAAAGGTCTCGTTGTCTGTGGGCAGGAGCTCCTGCACTGGGAGGTTAGGTTGAGGCAGTGGAAATTTTTCAGACTTGAGAAGAAGCACTTTTGAGGGGTGCTGAATCACAGAATTATCACTGATGCATGGAATGTTTTGGGTGAGAAGGGACCTTTAAAGGTCATTTACTTCAGCCCCTCTGCAACAAGCTGAGACATTGTCACAGAATCATTAAGTTTGGAAAAGTCCTCAAAGATCATAGAGTCTTGGAGTCTTGCTGGTCAGAACCCTGTCCAACCTGAGTATTTCCATATTGAGGCACCTCACTGGAAAACCAATGCCATTGTAAAAAAATTCTTTCTTATTTCTAGTCTGAATCAAACCTCTTTTAGCTTATAATAATTTTCCCTTGTCCTATGGCAGCAGTCCCTGGTAAAGTTTGTCCCCATTTACCTACAAAAAGATCAATAACATCAGTGGTGCATGGTGGGACAGCGAGAGACAAGGGATACAGACTGAAACAAGAGAATGTTTTCATCTGGATGTAAAGAAAAAGTTGAGGACAGTCAGACACTGGAATGGGTTTTTCAGAGAGCCTTTCTGGTTCCCATAGCTGAAAGTTTTCTTGACCCAAGTGGCTAAAGCTCTGGGCAAGCTAATCTGACCTTCTAGCTGACCCCACTTTGAGCAGGAGTTTGGATGTAGAGGCCCTTTGAGGTCCCTTTTAATGTGAATGACCGATTCTGTGAATGATCGATGCAGATTTTCTACAAGGCAAATGCTGGTGCAATAAAGATTTAATTAGTCTCTATTGAGATGGATCTTATCCAACATATTCCTAGTGATTTTCCAGCTGCATTTTGAAAAGCTATGCTTGATACAGAGCAGTGGTAAGCCATGTTTAGCTTCTGGAATAAGCAGAAGATGTGGATACAGCTGAGGAAAAAAAAAAAAATTAGTTGTACTTAGTAAATTTTATCTCTGATTTGAACATTACAGGACATCCAGACTCTTGTGTCTGGCCAGTTGGGGCTGGGGGTGACAGGATGAAGGGAATGTCCATAACACTTGTTTTTCCCATCTTCCACATCTCTCACTACAGAAATATGGTTGTTACATTTCTCATGAGGCTGTGTCTTAGAGAAAATTATCCAAAGGATGGAAGGTGGCTTTTTCATAGTATTGCTATGCATGAATTGCCAGGTTTGCTTAGAGTTGTTTATCCATAAATCCTACTACCTAATGGAAATATTAAAAAAAATAATTTCTCTTCCATTGTGTTCTTGTGCCCTCTTCTATTTGAAAAGAATTCTCTGCATCTAGCAGTATTAGTACTTGTATCAGCTGCAGCATTTGACACACTCCACAGTGGATTGCAAAACAGGATTTCAAAAATGAAATTTGCTCTGCTGAAACTTTCAAGACTCTTACAAAACTGCTAAAATCTGTGTACTGTAGTGAGAGGTTTTAATGGAGTTATGTAAGAAAAGTGTCTCCTATGATCAGCATCCTGCACATGAAAAACAATATTGGTTGAATACAAACATGGCGATGTTGACATTTGTTTAGCAAGAATCAATACCAACTTACTACACATCTAATTTTAGTTCCAGATAAATGGATTTTATTGCTGTGTTTCTCTGCATACTAGGATGTACAATATAATTCTTCCAAATGACAAACAGACTTCTTTTTGTATTGAGTTTTTAGTAATTTTCTTAGGTGATTAAGTTAATCACTACCCTTCCCTAGTGCATCCCTTTTTTTCTGTTTATACATCTGAGACTTTCAGAAAGAAATTATTTCATTTGCTTTTATCTTGAGGAAGGTTGCATCTGGAAATAAGATCAAAATGAGATCTACTTTTGCTGTAGTGTTGTTCAACATATCTGTCATATTTGTTTTCTTACAGTGAAAGATTTTTTTTAAGACTGAATAGAAATGGTTTGCCAAAATGTCCAGAAAAGCCTGAAAGACACTGTTCTCTCTTTGTGGTGAGTTCTTCCTAATCTCAATCTTTTTTTGTGCTGGATGTTGAGGCACGTGTAGCAGTCGTTCTCTCTGCAACAAGGACCACTTTTGTTTCCTCCTTGTCCTTTTTACACCCAAGGGATTGTGCAGCTCTCTCTGTACTTCCAGAATATTTGGAAGTGCACAAATGCATCACTGCTGTTGAAGGCACACAGCAAGTCTCTTGTGCCCTCCTGCTGATTTTGCTACATTACAGCAAATTCCAACCAGGATATTTTAGGACACTCATTTTGAGTGCATGTCTGGCAATTAAAGTGTTGGAGGGATTTGTTAATGCTGTACAGATGAAGTCCCTGGCAGTGAAAGCAGTGTGTACAGGTCTCTTTAAATGTCACATTTTAATCAGGAGTCATAAATAATGAGGTTCTGATCTTGTGCAGGACTTGGGTAGCAGTGAACTCAGGAAGGACATCTATATCACTGTGCACATTATCCGAATAGGTAGGTATAATCTTATATTTGTGAGACATATGGCAGCAAATAAAATAAAACTGTTTGGGGGTAGCTTTTGTATTATGTATTTATTTATTTATTTATTTATTTATTTATTTTTAATTTTTTTAAAACAAATTTTTGGAAAAGAAAATGCCTGTTTTTTGTTGGAAAAATTGCTTGGATTTCTGAGCATTGTTTTATGCTATTTATCAAGTATATTGTTAGCTGAGTTTAGATGCAGTACACTTCACAGTTATTATCACAGAACAAAATGGAAGTGTCAAAGATGAACTGTGTCAAGATGATGGAGTTGTCATTGGGGACTCCATTCTTGTTCTAAAGTGTAATTTCAAGCATCCTTTGAACATAGAAAACCTTGTCTAGACATTTAGTGTATCTCATTTTTATATAATATGATGTATATCTGATATTGTTCAGATGAATTTTGTCTTCTCCCTGACTCCTTTAAAAAGCAGGAGAGGTGAAAAAAATGGACAATATTTCATAAAAATTTTAATCTCTGGTTCTATAGACAGATATCAAGTCCTCTAGAAAAAAAGTAGAGGAGAGGAAAAGTGTACATTTGTGTTAGGTACTTATTGTAAGAAGTCCTCTGGACTGTAATGATGTGAAACAATAATATTTGGCTCTGCTTCTGACCTCTTAAATACATTTTTTTTCCTTTGTAAACTGCCTCTAGTTGCACCAGTGCAGTACTAAATTATAACTTTTCTTCCTGTTTTTGAAAGACATTTTGTTTTGAAGTATAGTTGCTGTAACTTGTGCTGAGTTCAGAAACATGAAATTTGTCACAAAGTAAACTTTATTTTACAGCTGTGAGAAATAATTTTCCTTGCACTTTTATGCTGATTTGATACTTCATCAAAATACAGTGTTTTGGTTTTTTTGCAAGGTTTTAGAAAAGATATGGTAAATTCTGATGTAAGTACTGTTAGAAGAATAAATGTTTTAAGAATATTAAAGAGTAGGATTTTTCCAGTTGTATAATTTTCAAATATATTCACAGCCAAGTTTATATGTGAACCACTGAAATATTAAAAAGTTAAAACAACATTTATCTGCTTTGTGGTGTGAAAATGAACAATTACTCTTCAAGCTGTTGTGATGCATAGGGATATTTGGAGGAGACATTGCCCTGCAGCAACTGCAACCATAGTTTTTTTTTTGTCAGAAATTAAGATTGGTGAGAAAGATACATAACTGCTAGTGCACAATTGAAAAAAATGGCTAGAAAGAGGGCAGTTTCAATGCCAGGAACAGAGCAAGAAGATTGATAAATTGTATTTAAACCAAATAGAAAAGGCTAGAAAAAATATTTTTTTTCAAATCTCTTTCCCTTGACTGCCTTCTTTCTTTCCTTACCATAAATTGTTCTTCTGCCCTTTGCCATCTTTTCTCCCCATGTTTCATTTCTTCTTTATTTTTCTGCAACTGGTTAATTATCCTCTTTCTTTCCAGTTGCCTATAAGGAAACAGCATCTGATTACCAAATTGTAATGGTTCAATCACAACACCTCCCACATAAATGATGGGTAGCAGCAGCCACAGTAAAAGAATTCTTACCAGACAGCGAATGTTGAACAGTCTGTCATGTCTGAACTCTTAAATTTAATTTGATAGTGTCGTGAGGATTGTATGACTGGGTATTACAAAGTGGTGTGTGTTGAGTGAGGGTCAGGAGAGGATGAGAAGAACCTCTGCTCTGAGACCTTGCAAGATCACCACATACTTCTGGGCTTGCTGTCCCATTTGCTATCTGAATGCAGTGTAAAGATGGACCAGGTTCCCAGTGAGAGTATACTTGGCATTGTCTGAGCTGGATTGCTTGCTGCCTCCCTTCTGTGGTTTGGAGAGACACAATTCCATGGATTATGCATCAAATGTGTGTTTTGTTTGGCAGGACGAATGGGAGCTGGAGAAAAGAAAAACGCCTGCAATGTACAATATAGACGTCCCTTTGGCTGTGCAGTCCTCAGTATTGCAGATTTGCTGGCAGGAGATTCAAAGGATGACCTTGTCTTAAAAGTCTACATGTAAGAAATGATGTTTTCTTAATTTTTGAATGTACCTTAGAGTCATTTTGCATCAGAATCAGTGATGTTAAATATGGTGTGAATAAATAGCTCCAGCTCCTTTCTTTACCAAAAATGCACAGTTGCTGGGTTTTTTGGCTTTTTTTTTATCATAGTATAGAAATTTTGGCTAGTTCTACAGGTGTGTTTATAAAGTGGGATAATATTAAAGGCTACATCCTTTTAGGTATTTGTGTATGTGTCAGCATTTTTCACATTATTCTGGAACTCTCTTATTATGGCAACATAAAGTGCTTTTAGGACTTATTTAAGTGCCTTGTGCTGCCAAGGCATCTAGTGGAAGTACTTCGTAGCTACAGAAAAAAAATCAGGCAGAGTATCTTTTTTGTGAAACAAGGCAGCTAAATAATGGGAATAACAAAAGTATAGAAGGCAGTTAGCATTGGAGAATGAAAAATCAAAAGTAGGTTTAAAAATGAATGCTTGATTACTTGATTAGATAGTGGATTTTGGCTGATAGCAACTGGAATAAAGTTCAATTTTCTAATAGCAACTCAGTGTGTGTAATTTCCTGCTGATCTTGGACATTATAGTATGAACCATTTTGTGGAGTATTCTAGTCTAACTACATATACCTTAGAATTGTCATGTGTATGGGAAAGTTCTGCCCTTCCCAGCAGTGGCACTCAAATCTTGAAGGCATGGGTATCTTTCTTCTGTCTCCATCTGTGATGAATGAGAGCTGCTGGAATCAGTGTTGGAGAAAAGCAGCTTAGTGTAACAGTGGACAGGTCAGCTGGCTCTCATTTATACTCCCAGAAAATTCAAGTCAGATAACTGTTCACTCTTGGTTAACAAATTGTTAAGTCTGTCTACCTATTATTATTTTTTTTTAAATTGCTTGTTTGTTTTAAGATAACAAAAACAGTGGAAGAAGAATTATCACTAGAAATCAGATTTAATGCTAAGGCTAACTCAAGTCTAAACTTTGAAAAGTGATGATTAGAACATAGTCAGGTTTTCCTTAAGGAAAACCAGCTGTTTTCTAAATGTATACTGAAATGTAATTTGCTCTTTCATTGACTACCTCCTGAAGATAGCAACATTTTTAAGTAACTTTGAAGTGTATAGCACAGACTTTTCTGTTTATTAAGACCAGCTCTGAGTCCTGTATCTTCTTTGGAGTGTCACAGGATAGATTTCTGTGTGGGTTAGCCCTGAAGGATAGATCTATACAGAAACTAACTTGGTCATGGCTGAGTTCTTCTGTGTAATTGTTCCTATCTTTCTCCTGTCCTTTGCCACACTAAGCAGTATTTCATGGTGCTTTTCTCAAATGGTAAAGGCACTCTTTCCATTCAGACAGGCTGTTTCATGGGGCTCTGCTAGCTCCTATTGTGTTATTTGTTTCATGAGCTAAAGATGATTTATTTAGGGATGTGTTGTGAAGTTGGTCTGATAAACTTGTGTTCCCATTTCAGAATTAAGAAAGTTATAATTTTTCTAGGTGCAACACAGAGAGTGACTGGTATCAGATCCATGAAAATATCATTAAAAAGCTGAATGCACGTTACAACTTGACAGGCTCCAATGCAGGTGAGTAATTTGCCACCTTTCTGTTTGCATTTTTAGGGCTTTCTTAGTGTTCAAATGAAGTAGCTCTATTGTAGAAAGACTAACATGTATGAAAGAAACATTTTTGCACATAGAAAAAAATATTCAGATGAAAATGTACAATACTGCTGTTCATGTGCACTTTTAAAAGAAAAACTCACTAAATTTTCTTCAAGAAACTATATATTATAAACTTTTATTCTGTGCTGTGGAGCTACAGTTTGCTGGAATTCTGTTCAGTTCTGGAGCTGATCAAATTATTGATCCAAATTGCTGGACATTTCTGCTTTGCATTTTCATCAGGAATATAGAATTTGCCATGGACATTACTGTCATGCTTTAGGAGTGGTATTCCCCAGTTTAGTACTCAAGCTAAAAAGAAAACCATGAGACACTGTCCTGCCTTCTCTGGTGGGATATGCCAAAGAGATCTTGAGGTGACCTAAAAACAATTTACTGGAAAGAGCAATGGGGTAAAAAAATGAAACTGAAACAGCAGCAATATTACTAACAAAAGCGTACAAAAGAGGGTGATTCACATGGAAGTGCTCACCGAGGGTCTGGGCAACAATCAGCAGTGGTGGATGAGTTTCCCCTCCCTCCAGGCTCTCTCTAGACCTGAAGCTCCTACCTGGCAGCCAGAGTTCCTTATTTCACAAGTAAGAGGCTCCAGACCTCACCCCTCATGGCCAAAACCAGAACAATTATATATTACACTTTAGAAAAAAATGAATGTACAATCTGCATTCCTACTGCTAGCTTTGCATTCCAACTCAGCAAGATGCAGTCTTGTAGTTTAAGAACTTACTAATAGTTCTCCACAGTCAGCTGTATGTTACTGGAACTGTCATAAATAAATTTGTGTGTAAGACTTAAGGAATGGGACACAACTGACCTTTGTTATTATGACATGGTGGTTTGACTCACAGATGTTGAACTGGCATTTTTTGTTTTCTTTTATTAGTATCAACTTGCTAAATTTTTCAGAACTCTGTCCTTCAAGGTTGGGGGGGGGTCAAACTTGGAATGAAATCTGAAATGGAGGCTTGCCGTTGTCCCTTTATTCAAATGTTGGTTTTCCCCGTGAAATGTCAATCAGTTGAAATATGACCACAGAAAAATCTTATTTTTGAGATTCCAGTATATTGTATTTGTAATGCCTTTCATGTAGTAGACTTCATGCTTCTTCAACTAACTATATTGTATATTGCAGGATTCTTTAACTTTATTTCAAGCATAATGTTTATCTTGAAAATGTATGTTTAACCATCTTTAGTGTATAACCAAGAAGCACATAAAAGCTCATTTATCAAGACTGAGGTTATATATTTAACCATTTCTAGTTCAATTATTTTCTCATATAGAATCTAGCCACATATATAGATATATTTAAGGTTTAGAATATCATGGGTCTTATTGGAAAATAAGTATAAAAATCATGTACTGGAAATAGAAAGGCATGTCTAATGTTTGGCTTCTTAAATATGTTAATCATATTCATCAAGAAAAAACTTATTCTTGGTTATTCTGACTGCCCATGCAATATGTGCTTACTCTGTGATACATTGCTAATCCTGCTCTTCTCTCAATAAGAAATAAGAGTTCACAGTTAAATGCGCAGTTCTTAGGAGACCTTGCACAAATTTGAATACTCTTAATTACGTGAACGTTCAACATGAAAGATGTGGCACATTAATTTTTTGACATGTTGGAGGAGGCTGGAAACTAAAGGTAACAGATGGAAGATTGGTTACATTTTTTGAAGGATTTCCAGGGTAAGGGAGGAAAAGAGGGAAGAGCAGCGCAGAATTCCAGTAGTGGATGTAAAGGTTGGAGAGGGAAAGAAGTGAGCAGTAATGCTGCTTCGAGTACTGAGCAAGTGAAAGATAAACTAGGGAAGGTTATTTATATCACACACATGAAATTCATTCTCCTGTGACTCCTTAGCAGCCTGAAAAAGCACTTGCAAGGTTTTAGCAATATGTTCAGATACTTCTGCTGACACCTCATGGAAAACATTGTTGTTACACTACTTTTTATTTTTCATTTGCTGTCTTTTTCTGTGATAGTGTTCTTTGGCTGGTTCTAAAGCCTCATTAGCTTTGGCTGCCACCTTGTTGTTGTCAAAAAAGGATAACACCTTGCATTACAGGAGGCAGAGATATTTTCTCTCTGTTAGGAACTGTTGTAGGTATGAGCCAGATGTAGGAAAACTTGATTTTTTTGGTTTATATTACACTTGCCCTTTTCAAATCACCTTGAATACTTAGAAAAAACTTAGAAAGGAAGCACAGTAAAAACAACAGCAAAGATGCTTCAATCTATTGTCTGTTCTCCAAGCTTGTTCCCTCTTCACATTCCTGTGCAGTTTCTTTCAAGTCAGGAGATTTTACATGCTTTAGTTCCCACAAATTGTTGTGTCCCCCTGCTAAAATAGTTTATCAGTTAGTTCATAATATTCTTCAGGGAAAAAAGTATTCCAGTTTTTGTGGCAAGCTAAAAAGTAACTCAAAATGTACTTTGAGTGTCTTGCATGTAAAATGCATAGTGATGGACTATAGCTTTTGTATTTGCCACTCAACTCCCCACCACCAAAACCCCACTTTTTCTGCTTTAACTCATGACAGTTCTTAAGTACAGAATCCTCTTCCATCTTCTGCTCAGCTTGTAAGGATCAAATAAAGGCAAATGGCTGCCACTTGTTTCTAAAGCTCAGGAAGGAGCAGGGGATAGATGTTCCTCCCCTTTCCTTTGCTCAGTGGTGCAGGAATGGAAGGAAGGACGTAGTCTCCTGGAAAATTTAATATCCTTTGCTGAAGTGGGAACTGGAATGTGTTTTCTGTATGCATTTCCAATTTAACAGAGGGGAGTAGCAGGTACTGGATTGCAGTTCCCATTTACTACTGGTCTTTGCAGCCTGGTGTGAGGTATCATGTTACTGGAAAACACCTGGTTGCCTGGTATAAGAGATCAAATCAATATTGCAAGGCCAAATTGTACAATCTTTGATGCATTTAGTAGCATTGTTATTTCTTACATCAAGTCTCTGGTATTTGTGGAATGTCATTATTACACAAACCAGGTTTCAGTAATATGTGGAGCAGAGCTGGCTGTAAAATCTATTCTTCGTAGAATATATTTTTCTTAGAATTAGAAGCTGGTTACTTTGTTTTAAAATGCAAAAAGCAGTGGAGAAACTAATATTCCTGTATAGACTTCACACTTAATTGCATCAATCTAATGATGAAAATAGCACATTTCTATTTTTGTATCTGTAGAACCAGAGATCTGATTTGGAAAAGGATTTTCAGTCAGTCTTGCATGTCCCAGATGAACATGCTAATTGCTTGGCTTCTCCAACTTCCCTGCAGCAACTCTTCAGCTTTGTATAAGATCTGAAAATATTCATGATACCATGGGGAAAGTGGAAGTGGCTCTAAAGCCTTCTGAGTAGTGCATAATTTTCTTAAGTGTGATCTATATTTGTGTCCTCTTACCAAATCCTACAGAGGAGAGATTTAAGGGTGGATCTCATGATATATATGAATGTTGTCCCCAATGAGTTACCTGATAAAAATCGTATTTAAATATTGATGAATTGCACTACAAAATTCTTTTTCTTCACATTCCTATGAAAAGAAAGACTGAATGAATTACCTTTAAGGGGATGCAAGACATTCTGGTTTGCTCTGCTTTTCCCTTTAGGCTCCTAATAGTGTCAAGTGTAAGCTTTTCTGTAAATGCCAATTAGGATTTCCTTATAACAAGTCTTGGACAGTTGCATGTGCCTGATGCAGTAATTCTTGGGAGATGAGAAAAGGATACATGTGCTTTTCAGCTGTGGCAGCAAAGGAGGTAAAAATCCTTTCGCGTCCTATAGAGATTAAATTACTGATGTAAGAAATTATAAACACATGTATGTGCTCTGTAGCTTTGAACTCGTGTGGAATCCATGAAAATAACTAATGTAGTGGGAAAGTCTTTCCCTGTGCCATTATCCTGGAATGTTCTGATGAACCAGACAAGAGTGATATAACCTAATTACATTTTTACTGAATGCAATGTGGTGTATTCTGTGGTAGCAATGTCAAACTTTGCAACACTGGAAAGGCTGTTAATCTTACATTAATTGATGTAAGTGCTTGAAACTAGAATGCACTGATTGAAGCACGGAGGACTTGAAGCCCGTGTGTTGATGGATGTTTGCTAACAATACCATAATGAGGAAAGACAATCTGTCATCTTAAGGAGGAAAGTTATCTATCAGATCATACAGTAAGTCAGGCTGGAAGGCTCCTCAGGAAGTTATGTGGTCCAACAGCAGCAGAAAGAGGAATCCTACCTCAAAGTGAGGTCGAACTTATTTAAAGTTCAGTGAGGTTGCTCATAGGGCAAATAATTTTAATTTTAATTCAATCAATCTGAAACAAGTTTCACAGAACATTCTTTGGTTTGGGGAACTATTTTTACCTCATGTGTGGGATATTTTCTCTGCAGTATACCTGTCAGTTGCCACTAAATCTCAGTCTGGTTCAGTGGTTGTATTAGGCTTGGTCAGAAAACAAATGAGGTAGACCAGCCCTCTGCATGAACTCATCTGACAAGATGTAAGTTCTGGGACAAGTATGACAATGGAAACAGTTGGTTAGAAAAAGTGATATGTGCTTTGGGGCCTTCTCATGCCTATTTACCTGCATTCAGCAGTCCCTTAGCACTCTGATGATATCATTTCTCCATGGTTACTGTCAAACACTGAGAAATTTAAAAGAACGTATAATTTGTCTGTTTGATTTCCTATTTCACAAAAAGTAAGTTTTGGCTTACAAATTCCTTGATTTGGAGCAGGAAACATGTCAGAGTCATTATTTACCTTGCAGGGGAGAAACTGCAGAGGCCCCTTAATCAAGGAGTATCATTTTTTCACACTTGTGGAGTGAAAAGGTACAAGAGATAAAATGCAGTGGAGAATTAGTAGCTCAGTA